TGGTCAAGGACAGAGTCTTTGTCATCTGTCAGACACTGATGTAGGTGCTGGGGACTCCACAGAGAGCAAGACAGACAAGGTCTCTGATCTCATGCAGCTCACAAATCCTCAGACAACGTGCGTTTGTATGGAGAGAAGAAGCAATCAGAATAGGGGAAAGGAGCAGAGGGGCCAAGTGTAGAAGGAATGGTATCAAGCAAAAGCATGAGGAAGCATGGTAACTTCTGGGACACAAATCGTTCTTCCCCCAAAGAAAGATGATAGCGTCTCTGGTAGCCAGCGTAGAAGTGGGTGCAATAATCTTTGGAGGGGACCTGCTTAGCTGTTTTGAACACTTGGAAAATTATAAAAACTTCTACGGCCCAGATGATAGGCCTAGTGCCATTTCTACACAGCGGTGAAGGAGGCCAGTCGGGGAGTTACCTGCTCAGACAGGTAAACAAAGGAACAGCCACCGGACTCAACTGCAGTTCCTGTGGAAGGCTATGGCCCATAGTTTGTAACTAAAGTGCTCACATTATTCTGAAGTAAAAATACTGCAATGTCAATGGCAGAAATGAGGTTCTCCAAAGAGAGGCAAAGGGTCAGAGGAGAGAGATTCCGCTCACAGAGCAGCGAGTAGGAAGATGGTCAGCAAGTCAGAGAACAGAAATTGAAATTTACATGACAAATGTAAATAACCAAGGAATCCAGTTTCATAGAGAACTCCCTTAATTCTTAAGACGCTAAGAATTTTTTTCCATCCTGTATTTATGTGGTTCCCCCACCCCCGTGCTGTCTTTTTCCATGATATTAAATAGCCTTTGGCCACTTTCTTTGCTTTCCATTTCAAAATGCACAGGGACAGGTTTGCTTGGCAGACAAAGATGACAGGAAAGTTAGACAAGAGCTACCTAAGTGAATTACTTAGTCTTCCAGACAGGCAATTTAGTGGAGCCCTAATAAGCAAAGAATTAATTTATATGAAAATGCTGATAATTCCCCCTGCCTTTCAGGTAAAAAAGATTAAAATAATAGCAGAAAGGCTTTAGGTTATCAAAAGGAGGATTTCAGCACTATAAATTTCAGCACTATGAAATTAAAGATCTCGTAACAGTGGATTTAGTTTTCAGTCACCAGCTGTTCGGGTTTAACCTATTTAATAGTTAACTAGCACATTGAGCATTTAAGTTAAATGTTAATTATTCTTCCCCTTTGTTTAAAAGGATAACAAAAACGGAGAAGCAGGTAAGGAAACAGCAAGAAAAAGATACCCGGGAGGTAGTCACGGTCACCAACTGGGCATATAAACCCCTGAATTTTCAATTATCAACCTGCAGAATTAGATGATTTCCCTCTATCTCCCACTAAAGGCACATCTATTTATGTCTTCTTCGATGAAAAGACTCTTTTCTGATTATGAATCTGGTCTTGCAGAAAACAAGTCCATACCAAGATCTGTGTTTAGAGAAGCTTTGATACTGCAGAGAAATGGTTATTTTAGGGCATCCTCCATCCATTTTACTTTGCTACCTAAAACCAAAGTGTGGTGATTCAAAATATTCTCCTTTCAGTCAAGAAACAAAGAAAAAAAGAAAAGAATACTTGAGAATCTACTATATGCCAGGAACTCTGCTAAGCCCTTTTGTATGGATTTTCATTACTCCTCACAATTCCGCATGAAGCAGATATTATTTCCCCATTTGCAGTCGTGGAAATAGTAAGAGAGACAAAATAACTTTCCCAGGGTCACCAGTTATTTAGTGGTGGAGCTGAGATTAAAATCAAAATCTGATTTGAAAGTCTTAGGGTTATTGGCCCAATATATCCAATCATAACTAATAGGAATTATTTAAAAAATTTCAACGATCACTATCAATCTGCTATGTCTCTCCTGTTATAAACTAAATGTACTTACTTAACGTCTTCAAGGGTTAAACTCACACACAGTACTTGTTTCTTTACAGTCATAATCATATCATTGACTTATAATGAACCAGCCATCAATTAAAAAAAAAAAACAAAAAAAACCAAATCTCTCTAATCTTGTTTAATCTAGCTCTCTCCACTCTTGAACCCAAACTGGAAACTGATTTCCATTTCATCTTTTTAGTACTGGTCAATCACTGCAACTGTCAAGAGCTTTCAGAATCCCAGGACCACTATCCAAAAGAATAACTACTCTGAGGTTTATATTATCCACGAATTTAATGCTAGTAAAGCAATAATTTAAAAAAGATGACGGGCCCAGCACTATATCCAGAATTTAGCAGCTATCACTGGAGAAGGCTCTCCAAGTTGATCTCAATCCATCAGTACACAACTCAACAGCTTCAAATCCACCTATCCCATTATTCACTTTAAATTCTGCTTTCTTGTTTATAGGATATTATATACTTTTCTAAATGCCTCAATGAATTCCAAACATTGGTCAGTTTAGTAACCTTATTAAAAAATGAAATCAGGTTAGTATTGTAAGGCTTGTCTGCTCTCTTCCTCTCCATGTGGTTTTCCATGAGCTCACTGTGATGTCTTTGACATGTCAACTTGACTAGGCTGATGTCCAATTTAATCAATCAAACACTAATCTAGGTGTTACTGTGAAGGTATTCTGTAGATATGATTAAAGACCATAATCAGTTGACCTTAAGTAAAGGAGATTATCCGAGATAATCCAGGTGGGCCTATTCAATCAGTTGAAAAGCCTTATGAGCAGGTTGAACACCTGTGGACAGCAGCTTCAGCCTGTGCCCAGGCGTTCCAGCCTGCCCTTCCTGATGGCCTGCCCTACCGATTTCAGACTTACCTAGCCAGCCCACAATCATGTAAGCCAATTCCTTGCAATAAATCTCTTAATATACATCTCCTACTGCTTCTGCTTCTCTGGTTAAACCTTGACAGATACATTCACAAACCATCAATATCCCACAAACATAAAATACCTATAAATAACTTTAACAAGAAATATGTGGTTCCTATATAACTCTGAGACATACAGTCTCAAATAAATTTACAGGTTTACACACAGTCCTAGTCAAAAATATAGTTGGACTTTTGTTCAGATCACGACAAAATAATAGTAAAGTTCCTCTGGAATTAAAAAAGGGAACAATTTGGAAAATAATAATTGCTAACATTCACTGAGTCATTACTCTGTGCTGGGCTCTTCCTTTAAACTTCACAAAAACCACCTAGGAAGCAGAGAAGACAACAGTCAGGTAACTCAGGGAAAGATCAAGTTGGGAAGGCAGGCCAGGAGCTGGCTTATTTTGTAAATAGTCTTCCAATCTGAACGCATCATAGCCATTTAGGGTTTCTTAGATGCTTCCCCTTTTTCTTCTTCATATCCACTCATGGCTGCACTCTCCAGAATTTTGTTGATGAGGGCCTAGTGTACCTCGGCACTGCCTTCCTTTCTGAATCCCACTCTCTGGGTGTCACACCCTCTTCTCTAATTCCTCACTAATGCTGCAATGATAAACTGTGGGGTAAAAAGTATATAAGGTGAAAGAAAAAAAGATAAGGATCAAGAGCAGGAAAAAAACAGAGGGTTTCCTCAAGTTCTGTTGACACTTGTAAGTTTCATCCATACTATATATGAATATGTGGATGAAATTTTCTTCTCTGCTTGGAGTAAATTAAGCAATTTGTGTTTTTTAATTTGTTAACTTGTATCTTTTAATAACAAGCCTACCTAATAATTTAAAGACATAATGAAGTAACAAATAGAAAATGAAAGCACCGTCTGGAGGAAGAGCACTGTAACTGGAATTTTTAATAAACTGGAGAAAGGGGAAGTTCTTTCCACCATCTTAGAATCACACAGGAATATTGTGCAAGATAGCAGCACAATCATAGCTGTGACTGTTTCTTTCAGATTCGATCTTCAGAGGTTTGCTCAGTTCCATGTAGACCCAGACTTGCAACTCAAGTAAACAATTCTGGGGTGGTGGTTTACTCCTTTTAGACAATGTGAAAACTGATGTGGATGATCTTGAGATCAAAATAGGTATACCTTTTTTTTTTAACAGGAAAAAACGTAGCTTTATTAAATGGATATATATTTCACACAAGAAGAAAAGCTGTTGACTTCATCCTGCTATGTGTGTGAATGGTGCTCTGTAGTATCTAAGAATGTTAGGATGCAGATCTTGCTCAGCGAAGTTTAAAAATGATGCAGTCCTCAATCAATAATAAAAAAAATTATATATTTTCTTATCATAATGTAATATAGATAAGATACTAACAATGAGGTAACCTAATAATTAGAATGCACTCAATATTGTAGATTTTGAAAATCTGTCAACCATCTCTAAAATATATTTATTTTACATTAACCAGAACATGGTATCATTAGTTTAGTGTCCTTATCTGGGTGCTGGCTTATCACTGATAGAGTTTTTGCGTCTGGGAATTTTCAGCATAGTAAATTGTGCAGTTGAAAGCTTCAATGCTTGATGATGGTTGTGGTATGATATAAATGTTGGAAGAAAACAACATTTAAAATGAGCCATCTCCAGAATTTGTAACTGGCTGGTTCTATGCTTATTATCATGATATAAAAGGCTTCAGGAAGGAAAATCAGGCTGTTATTGTGCCTGTGGCTCAGTACTGAGGAGCTGTCTCATGATTACCTGTTAACGTGGTAAATTCTCACTGTTCTCCTCTCTCTCACCTGTGACAGCTTACACCATTACATCTAGACAATTGTAATGCTTTACAGACCAAAGGGCCAGCTTCTGCTTAATACTCTTCATCTGCAATACTCACAGGACATTTTCACTCATAACCAAGCAAAAAATATGATTAACCTCAATCTACAGAGAAAATGCTAAGGCCAACAAATAGCTTCATTCAATTTTCTTCATTTGATGGGATAATACTGAAAGAAAAAGTCAAATGAACTGAGATGATGTCGCTGAATGGACGAAGGTTTCTTGGGAAATCAATTAGAAGATCAAAATAATTGCTTTTTAATGGAGCTTTCCACAATAATTACATGTGTTTGAAAGATAACTTACCAGTGATGCCATTGGATTCCTGCTGTAGGTCACAGTACCAGAGTCGGTTTACTGGATCACATCCCTCCCTTATTGACAATAAGACATAGCGACCATCGTCAGACAACTATGAAGGAAGCAAAACCAGTGCAGGGGGCTGATTAGAATACATATTTTGCGACAGCACTGTTAAATATTAAGTAAAAAATAAAGGTTAACCTCAAATGTAGTATCTTTACTCCAAACTTATTATTGGACAAGAAAGTTATCGGAAAAAAGATGAATATCAATTTTAACTTGTTTCACTTTGAATCACAGTTTATTTTAACAAAACATAGTGAAATACTTAAGTAGAAAATATCAGGGGGCTGGCCCGGTGGCGCAAGTGGTTAAGTGCGCAAGCTCCACTGTGGTGGCCCGGGGTTCGGAGGTTCGGATCCCAGGTGCGCACCGACGCACCGCATGTTAAGCCATGCTGTGGCAGCGTCCCATATAAAGTAGAGGAAGATGGCCACGGATGTTAGCTCAGGGCCAATCTTCCTCAAGGAAAAAAGGGGAGGACTGTCATCAGATGTTAGCTCAGGGCTAGTTCTCCTCACACACACAAAAAAATCAGTATATCTAACTGAATGTCATGACTCAATGTGATTTTTATTTAAATTTAAAGTCTATTCTTTAACTGAAAATACATGCAATCTGTCATTTTGAATATTTTGAATATTCCTGACTTGGAAGTTTTGTCATGGGTTATGTATTTAAAAAGTTATTCTAAATGAGTACCAATAAGCAAAATAGGCATGGATGCAAAGTTCATTTGTGGTTCACACTGGCCACATTAACAAGTTTCTATTGAATAACTCTATGCATCTCTTTAGTCACCTCTATCACAAGATATTGGAGACAAAAGGCCTATGCTTCTGTGGATTTCTTTTATAGTATTAAACGGGAGCATCTTAGGTAGAAAAAGAATCTTGATAAAAAACGAATGCAACAAACGGTTTTGAGTTGGCAAAATTGACATAAGTGGTATCAAACTACATATACCCTTTTGCAACTAATTCTTTTCATTCAATAAAATTTTTAAAATCAATTCATGTTGATAAACGTATATTTACTTCATTTGTTTTAACTGCTGTACAGTATTCCAGTCTAGGAATATACCACAATTAACTGATCTATTTTCCTACCAATAAACATTTAGATTATTTCCATTTTCTTCCTTTGTGGTTTTAGTTCCTACTACAAGCAACACTTTAGAAAAATTCTTGAATGTGTTTAGATATGGCCTTATATAAGTGTTTCCCAGGGTATATACCTAGAAGTAAAATTGCTCAGTGGTAGGATATGCACATATTCAACTTTATTAGATGTTGCCAAATTATTTTCCAAAGTGGTTGTACCAACTTATACTCTTACATATCAGCAGTGTGTGAGAGTTCCTGTTTTTCCATCCTACTGTGGTGTTTAATTTTATGTGTCATCTTGGCTAGGCCACAGTACCCAGATATTTGGTCAACCATTATTCTCGATGTTTCTGTGAAGGTTTTTTTGGATGAGATTAACATTTAAATTGGTGGACTCTGAGTAAAGCTGATTATCCTCCATAATGTGGATGGGCCTCACCCAATCAGCTGAAGGCCTTAATAGAAAAAGACTGACCTCTCCCAGCAAGAGGGAATTCTGCCAGCAGATGGCCTTTGGACTCAAACTGAAACTCTTCCCTGGGTTTCCAGCCTGCTAGCCTACCCTGCAGACTTCGGACTTGTCAAGCCTCCACAATCACATTAGCTAAAATAAATCTCTCTCTGTATTTATACACATATCCTGTTGGTTGTTTCTCTGGAGAACCCTAATACACTTACCAACAACAGTTATTCTTTCATTTGTTCATTCAGTAAATATTTGGTAAGCAGTTATTATGCGCAACACATTTTTCTAGGTGTTAAAGATAAATTAGTGAATAAATTGGGGGGGAGTTATATTTTAGTGGAGGAGACACACAAAAACATGGAATTACATAGTATATTATAAAATGATAAGTGCCATGGAGAACATGAACAGGTCTGGGTAAGGAGCCAGGATGTGTGGGAAGGGACTGTAGTTTTAAATATGGCAGTGAAGGTAGGCTTCTTTAAGAAGGTGTCTTTCCACCATCTTCTGACTTGCACTGCTGCAGATGAGAAGTCATTTCTTCTTTTTACTCCCTATATGTAATGTGGATTTTCTTATCTGGCTGCTTTTAAGATTTTATTATCTTTGGTTGTTTGTGAATTGATTATAATGGGCTTTGCTGTAGTAGCCTGCTTGAGATTTGTTGAGCTTCTCGGACCTGTGGGTTCGTCTATTTTATCAAATTCATAACATTCTTGGCTGCTTTTTCTTCATATATATTTTTGTGTCCCCTCATCCCTACCCCAGGACTTCAAATACATAATGTTAGATCACTTGGTATTGTCCCACGGGTCAATGAGACTGTGTTCATTTTTGTTTTAGTTTTTCTTCTCTTTGTGGCTTAGTTTCAATTGTCCTGTCTTCAAATTCACTTATATTTTCTGTTATAGTACCTAAACTGCTGTTAAGCCCATGCAGAGAATTTTTTGATTCAGATAGTTTATTTTTTACCTCTAAAATATTTTGTTCATTTTTATATTTTCTATTTCTTTGTTTATTACATTAACATTTTCTAAAATCCTTTAAAAATTATTTTTATAATAGCTTTTAAAAAGTCCTCATCTGCTAATTCTACTACCTGTCATTTCTGGATCTGTTCTTTTGACTAATTTTTCTCCTGGATTTGTGTCACATTTTTCTGCTTCTTTACACATCTAGTAATTTTTTTAATTGGATTCTGAACATTTTGATTGTCTGGATTAAAAAAAATTTGGGGAGTCTTCCTTTAAAAGTTTTGAGGCTTAATTTGTTGGTGGATCAGCTTGATCCATTCAAGGCTTGTTTTCAAGCTTTGCTGGGTAAGGTCTACAGTCCTACTGCTAAGGCATGGCCTCTCTGGGCTATTCTCTGCTGAATACCCTGGGTGTTCACAAGATTTTTCCACTTTGGTTACAATGTGAAAGTCTCCCAGACTTGTTAAACCTCTGGTAGTTGTCAGCTTACAACTCCCTGGTAGTTGTTCTTAGTGTGAAACATGGAGTCTCATCCTATGCATCCACTACTTAATAGTCAGCCAAAGATGCAAGGGGACATCAAGGCAGATTTCTGGGTAGTGGGTAGTTCCTCCTTTTGGTACTCTGCCTGCAAATTCCAGTGGCTTCAGTCTTCCTGAATTCCAATCCTTGGATCCTTAATTCAGTGAGATTGCAATAATCTGAGGGCTTCTGTCTTCCTGAATTCCAATCCTTGGATCCTTAATTCAGTGAGATTACAATATTCTGGGGGCTTCTCCTTCTTCTGCCAGTCCAGAAAATACCTCCAGGCAGAAAGCTGGGGCAATCATAGGACAATCATCTCTCTCACAGATCACAGTCCTATGATGCCTGATGACCAATATCTGTAAAAAGTTGCTTTGTCTATTTTGTAAAGTTTTCTAGCTATTTATGGCAGGAGAGCTAGTCCAGTACCAGTTACACTGTCATGGCCAGAAGCAAAAAATTGTCATTATGTTTTTATTTTTTTTAACTTATTCTTAATTCTTTTTGGGATAATTACATTTTTTAGGGTATATTAATGCATATGCTTAAAATATATAGATGTAAGAATTAAGAATGTAATAAATACAGGACTACTTAAAAAGATAATACCCATGCTTAATAAAAAACATAACTAATATATTTCCTTCTGTCTCATTACATAGTAGGATATTTTTACTGTTTCTGTTTCTTATTCCAATAATACTTCTTTGAACTACCTGCAGCCTTTGCGACATACTTCTTTTCTTCTATGCAGAGGTAAAACTGTCAACATAACATTCACATTGACTTGTTGCACTGCTCTTATCAAGTCCACATACGCTGATTGCTGGTATCAGTGCAATGTGATGATATCGAGCTAAATGTCATCTGAATGAGAGTGTTTGAGCATGGAACACTTAGGGTTATACTTACTAGCAGTAAGTTTTTAGACCTGTAGGTATTAGATTTCAGCTCTCCAAAAATGTCCATCCACTTTCTATCTACAGGTTCGTTTCGGTAGACAAGCTGTTTGTCAATCATATTCTTTGCATTTATAAATCAATCATAATGGCTATGCATGTCTAAAATATCTAGCATTTTTAAACACTTGGCAGCACATTGGACCTTATAAGTTAAACATCTCTTTCTCAGAAAAAATTATTTTAAAGCACAGAGTTAATCTGTACTTGTGAAATAGAAGTGGGATTCTAAGTTCTAGTTTTAGAAAAGATTCTAGAAAGTCCTGTTTAATTTGGCTATTCTTTCTTGGTGACCTTTTTCTGAGTTCTGAAGCAGTCTCTTTTCCTCAAAATGAATCATGTTTTACTGTATGAGTTTTTATCACAAACTACACATAATATCAAATGACTCAGGTGCATTCTATTCACCTTTTTCTAGGCTCCTTATAGCCTTTTCAAAGATTGTCAGTTTTGGAGAAACCTCATATAAATTTCTAATTTCCATTAGATCTTTTCTCCATTCTCATTCTCAATGTATTTCTAACTTACCTGTCATTATGTTTTAAGTGGGTCTCTTACAAATGAACATATGACTTGATTGAGTTTTAAAAATCCAATCTAAGAATCTCTATTCTGTTTTCATTAATTGTTATTGCTGATGTACTGGCTTCCACATTCTTCATTTTGAATATTCTGTTCACCTTGCTTTTCCCTTCTTGCTTCTTCGTACTGTAATAATATAAATTTCTTTATAAACTGCTTCCCTTGACTTCTTTGGGAATTATACATTCTATTTCTAGTGTTTTATAAGCTTTCCTAAAGCTTTTCATATACATAGTTAATAAACCAATGACTAGAATTTTAGTTCCACCTTATTTTTAAACCATCTCTTATCAAGAATATCATCAGCAACCTCACAATTATAACATTATTAAATGCAATGGAAAGGAGCCTCATTAATAATACTTCATGCTTTTGTTCTCTTGTCCTTTAAATAAACGCAGAATCTTTACAGCTTAGTGCTTAAAGTCATGCTCCAT